AAAACTGCCCATAAAAGGTTTAATGTATTGGGCTGAAGGGAAGGTTCTGCAATGAACAGTGATTATGAACAAAGAACAGCTTCTACATCAGTCAAATCACTGCTGTACTCATCTGAAACCAAAACAATTTTGCAGTTTCCTAGGTTTTGAGTGGTTGTTCCTGCAAAAGCAAACGATGAGGAAGTTCCATTTCCAGTTTCCAGTTTTGGAAAGCTGTTAGAAAGTCTTTTTTCCTTTGTAATGATTTGAACTTGTGTCTCTCGAGCCGCAGGAGGACTTGTATCCCATGGGATGAATAGTTAATTACATTTTGGATACCTACAAGAGTGCCTCCTATGATACATTTTYGGTAGCTCTTTTGGTACTTAAAAAAAAATTCACTTTATTTTTTACTGCTAGAGAACCTGCTTTATAAGCTGCCTTTGTTTTCCTTTAGAAAATATCAGGCATTCATCTGTCACTTTTTATGCAAGTATTTTTCAGCACTGTCACAATAATTCCAAAGCAGACAAAATAATGTATATATTTAGTTACCAGGAGCCCAGCAAGATACTCTTCACACTCAACTTTGATTTTCTAGCTTAAATAGTCAAATATATATTTCTTACATGACTGTTAATTTTGTGGTGTCAGAAGATGCCACAGGAAACATAAATGAGGTTAACATCATGTGTTCCCTGTGATTCCAATGTCACCAATACAGAAAATTAGATGAATAGTCTCAAATACTACACAACCAGTATCTATACCAATATCAGAGGACAAGCTAGTAAATGTCATCTACAAGCTAGTCTGTCAAAGTTTCACTCTAAATCTGAAATTCCAATCAGTAAATTGTACCTCATAAAATCATGTTATTAATAGTCAATGTCACATTAGGATGAGGACTCCTTCACTTAGGATGAGTAACTTGCTAAAAGGAGAGACCAACCAACAATGGGACAACTACAGAGTTGAAAGCAGTGCTAGGGAGAGAAGGAAAAAAAAATCACCACAAACAAAATCACATTTCCCTTCCCCTAAAAAAGCAAACTGCTAATCCTTTTGATAATATTCRAAGTAACACTGCCAAGCAGTACTGCAGAAGAGTCTGGAGCACAAGGGAGCWGCTGAGGGAGCTGGGRGTGTTTAGCCTGGAGAAAAGGAGGCTCAAAGGGGTCAGTCTCCTCTACCATATCTCAGWGGAAAGGACAAGAGGAAATGGCCTTAAGCTGCATGAGARGAAGTTCAGATTAGAGACAACATTCTTTTTTTTYACTGAAAGAGCAGTCAGGCAATGGAATAGTGCCCAGGGAGGTGACRGAATCACCACCTCTGGAAGTGACCAAGAGGCATCTGTATGTGGCACTCGGAAATATGATTAAAGGGTGCTGGGTTGATGGTTGGATTAGATGACCTTGAAGGTCTCTTCTAGCCTTGATGATTCTGTGAAGCAGTTACATACAAGAAACAATGAGCCTCATGTTTTAAAAATATAAAGCTAATTTATGTATTTATACTAGTGAGATTGGGGTGAGTTTTTGCTGTTTCATTTTTCCACAGTGTAAAATACATACTTGTCTTTTCCCGCAGCTTTTTTYCTTTTAAAATAAAGATCAGCATTTGAAATCCATTTATACTGAAGCAAACCTGAAGCCCTTTTAAAAAGTATGCATTCTAAATTCCTATTGCAGAAAAGCTGACAAATGTAAACATAATCTAATTGAAAYAGCCATAGGTTATGCACTTCCAAGGCTTTCTCAAAGTAATTAGTGCACATGTTCTTTGAAAWCAACATCTGATTTGTGTCAATCACATCTACAGAGAGAACTCTGAAACTTAGTCAAAAAAAAAATGGTTGTGACAATGATGGACACCAGCATCACTTAAGTGCTGCAATGGAATGTCTTTCTCAGATGTGTTTTGACTGGTTCATAAAGAAACTTTTAAACATAACTGTCAGTTTTAATAATTAATTCTGTGCTTGGAACAGCAGCAGCAATACTGAAACAGCAAAGTGGATTTCAATAATTATGTAACAACCTGAGGCAACAGAAATTCAGTATTTTCTTATCTTTACAATGTAGACTGTTTTGAGCATTTAGAGAACAGTCATTCCTTATTAAAAAAAAAAAACAAACCAAACAAAACCAACCAAACCATACCTTCAACACTGTTGTGCAATTTGTTTTTAAGAGGAACATCCTTCAATCTACTTTCATTCTCAAGGATTTCCTACTGAAAGAAATGTATGTATKTTCTTATTGCAAAAAAAAGGATTACTATTAGGGGACTTAGTGGCTTGACTGGAGAACTTCTGCTYGGGAAAAACCTAGAAAGCTTCAGTACAAGAGCTGTTACTAAAGTAAGCATTAGAAGGTTTCAATTTACACAATCCTGTTCTCCAGGTGTGGTTTAGAATAAGCACCATCTATTTGACTGTTCAATATTCAGCAGGAATCTGCCAACCAGGTCTTGCATAAAATAGGCACAAATGTTCCTTTCTGCTCAGTGATGTGAGCTCAGTTCTCACTTTAAGCTATTAAGAGATCATTGCCAGTCTTATRCCTGACAGTATTCTCAGATTTCAAAAATTAAACTGCAGAAAACTCAAATTCAGTTCAGCAAAACATTTGGTGTGGAAAAATAAACTACAGGAACAAGTCAGTGCTCTGTCACCATGTAACAGATGTGCCATTTATTCAGTCAGAGCTGTGGTCAATATTTCCATTAAAAAACTTCTTAATCCTGAATTATTATGAGAGTTACTAAGCAGTTACACCTCAAACTGACTTGGCAGAAAAAATTTCCTTCAAAGTCAAAGAGCTTTTCTATTACTTAAAAGAAAAAGAAAAAAAATACAAGAAAGCCCGTTGCACCTTTTCACAGACACAAGATTGCCTCCAAAACTGTGTTTCCTCTTCTTAATTCCCACCCTCAGATGCATTTCCCCAACAGGTAAGTCTTCCTAATGCTCAGTCCATTTTCCCTTTTCTGTGTTTCAACCTGCCAGTCACAGTTTTATTTCTGATTGCCTCAGCAAGCACCCTTGAAATATCAGGAAATTCCACTGCTCTATTGGACCTGCAGCTGCCAAATTCTGCAGCTGCTGCTCAAGTTCCATAGACAAACAGAACCAAGGCCCCAATCATTTGAAATTACAACATCTGTAAATCTAATCAGTCACTGACTTCAGAAAGGCAAAATACTGTATTTTTGTGGACACTTGCAATAGAAGCTAAAAGTCACAATAAACTTTGAAATGGYTTACAATGATAGCTGAACAGGTAGTTATTATTCTAATGGTGCACTTCCCTTGAGGAAGAAACAGAATGGAAGATGTTTCCTTTCTTCGAAAACTAAAATGCATTTCTTCAATAAATAAAAATAACAAAATAAACAAGGAAAAACAAAAGCAACCCCCCAAAATCAAACAATGAAGCAAAAAAACACACGAAAGAAATTTTAAAAATCCCCACAAAACCAGAAAAAAAACACAAACACACAATCACAAACCCCCCCAAAACAACAAAGCAGCAAAAGAATCCCAAAAAACTAAAACAAACCCCCACAAACAAAAAAAAAATAAAAAGACCCTACTTCTTCCCCCAAAAAACCCAAACACAAAATCCTCTACTGCTAAGACTATTCTTAACACAGCAGGTAGACATAACTACCTTGGACCTGGTTACAATTTTCCAGGGCACAACAATGAACATTATTTTTCCACCTTGTACACAGATAATTAGTACTTTCTCATTCCCCTAGTTCCCTTCACCATTAAGGCAACAGGTATCAAAAAAATTTTGTTTTAAACTATTGGCACAGAATAAATATTTTGCCTTTAATCCAAGGAGGTCTGGCATTTATGTTCCTCAACACATGCACCTTGGAAAGCTAACTAGGAAAGTCTTTTGAAGCATAGCAGTCAACTGAAAGAGTAATTTGACATCTCAGACAACAACCTTGAGCTCCATAGGTCAGATTAGCTTGGAACAACACAGTAACAAGGAAACTACTGATCCTCCCTGTTGTGCTGAGCCAAGGTGAAGATTTCGCCTTTGATTATGTACCAAGGTACACAAGTGACTAATTGGATTCAGTTCAGGACAGCAAAAAGGACTCCTTCACAAGAAAAACATCCAGTCACATTGATTCAAAGAAACTTTGTTCTACCAGGCTACAGATATTGGCCTAAAAAAATTCACATAAGGCATGTGAAGTAAGTAGAAGAGGAATCCACTAACACAGCAACACTTAAATAGACATTAAATAAACCATGTATTTTATAAATCTTGGATTACTATGCTGGCAAGACAGTAGCCAGCAAAGTAGCAAGTCTCAATAAAATGAAAGGATGACTAATGTCTACAGTGCTAAATCTATGATCCCTAATTAATCTCACCAGTAGCTAAAAAGAAGTCACTTTTAGTCCTTCAATAAATCTCAGATWTTTGTATTTCGAAAGCATGCACCCCCTTTCTTTTTTGTTACGTTTTAACATTTTTAAAATAGGGCAACTTRAAATCTTGGCATAGTGACTTTTTTCAAGCCCGAAAGCTACATCTTAAAAATATTACCCTTCAGAGTTCCCAGCTTTCAGGTCTGGGGACATTCTTACATGCTTCATCAAGATTTCTCATCTGGACAGCCAAGGGACCAAGGCCACAGGGTACATCCTGTACCATACACCATGCTGTACAATTGCTCTGTAATTAGGAGCAGACCAACCAAATACAAACAGAACCAAACTGGCTTCTTTTAAGTTCTCTGTGTCAGAGAAGCATGGGTTTAGTATTGCATTTATCAAAAAGGCTCCAGATTAAATGAAAAAATACTTTAAAAGCAAGACAAAGTTTACCAYAGTAAAAGAATTAGAGGGAAGACAGCAGTGATCATAGTTTCAGCTGAACTCCAAATGCCCTACATCATTTCACTTTAGGTTATAATGACAGCCCCAAATTCTATCTTCAAGCATTCTTGGCACAAGCATATGAGACCAATAGCAAGTAATTACTAACCTTTCTACATTGACTGGCTTGTCAAATTTAAAGAGAATATAATCTCCAGCAACTGGTGTGACAGCCCAGAAAAAATCTTCCCCTACGTAGGTTTTTTCTAGCGTATGCCCCTGGTAGACTTTTAAAGATGTCGAAACCTCTGCAGGTGGATTCACGTGGATTTTGTGCAGTAATGGTTTCAGGAAGTCTTTATCCTAATTGAAAGACAGACAAACATCATGTTGGTCAGACAAGCTTGTTTATTATGTTCTTTTCTCAAGTGGTTACACTTAAAACAAACACTGGCAGAAAATGGAAAATGAATGCATGACTCATTTTGGGTGCATCAGACCTTGTACTGATTAGTAAGATGGACATGCCATTAAAGTAAAAAAATTAGAAAAAAATATTCCTTAGCAAAAATTGACACAAATAAGCTGGACTAGCACTTTTTATACTTTATAGTAACCAGTCTGTATCAGATTTAATGCCAGCTGGAGCAATACACATCATGCTTGAAAATGCAAGACAACAAGAAAAGGCCTGTTTTCTCCATTGCCACAGTGTTTTTCATTTAATCAGCCTGCTCTGTAAAGGAAGGGAAATGTTGTCTACTAACTGTGAGTTTCTGGATCTTCCCTGCTAGAGAAGAGTGGAGGCCAACATGCTGGAAAAGAGAAGGCCTGAAGCGTATCCGTAGGTTTGATTTCTGTCGATCACAATGTTTCTGAAATGGTGGGGGGAAAAGATAAAGGGTGGGATAAAAAACAAAAACAAAACAACACATTAGTAAAAACCAACACTAGGCAAGAATCCAGGCCTTTTTAGTTAGTTTTTCATGTTTTCATTTAAGAAATCTACCAAGACTGCTCTGCAAAAATAACATTGTTCAAGGTTCTTGCATAGAACYAATTTATTCAGTCTTTCAGCAGTTCTTGCATAGAACTMATTTATTCAGTCTTTCAGCAAAGGTGCTACTTGAGAAATTAAGGAACAAAATATAAGGTTTATTCCATTTGGAACCTTCTCCCAGACTGCTATCCAAGCAGTGACATTCTGCAGAGCTTCACCAGCGCTTACATGTGTAAGCTGATTCTAGGAATGTTACACATCAAATCTAACTAGACTTCTGTTTTTCATCCTTAGTGCACCCATCTCCAAAATCTGAAGCAATAACAGTTATGATGCCCCTGAGAACTCTCTCTRAAGTTCTTTTGGAGATAAAAATCTTGGCAGGAAGAAAGACTCTTCCAGAACATGCAGTAACTGCAATGTACACTATGTTGGCTTTTGGCTCACAAARATCAACTCATTCATCATCATGAAAACATTTTAGAAGCTTTATAATAAAAACAAACTTACAGCATCTTTCTCAGGGTTACACACTTTCACCCAGAGGATGTGGTCCAGGAGCCAATCGATAGGTTTCTCCTTATAAAACATAAATATGAACTCTACAATAAGAGTGATATCTGGAGACTGGAACATTTTACCTGTGGGTGACATTAARAATAACTGGAGTTACTTTAGGTTCGAGATAACATGGTCTTTTGAAATCAGTAAGATAACAGATGCTACATTTGTGCCAAGACAAGAAACATTAGCAAGGAACAACCTGAAATCTCAATGTTATTAAAAGTTCCATACCTTTTAACTAAGTAGAACACTAAGKTGAACACGAACTTCTTTTTATACATGTTGTGCTATAAAAATATTCAGTGTATATCCAGTGTACTACAACAGTCTCCTTAAAAATAGAAATTGTCAGTTTGAAAAAACAAAGAGCTATGGATTGGCATCTATTATTCCCATGTCACATGTAAGCTCAAGCACCTGAGACTAGAAACTGGTGCAGTGTTCTCTGCCCAGCCACACAATTTCAGCTTCTGCAGGTTCAAAAAACAGAGACTGAGCACCCACCACTAACTTCAGATCCTTCTGGGCAGGAAATCAAAGGAAGAAAAGGAAGCTACCAAAACATATCCAGAGACAATGCAACTCAGAGACATCCCACAGGGACCAGAGTTTTCTGCAGTGCAAAGGCCATCAGCAGGATTTCCAGGTGGCACAGTGCAAAAGGATTMTTGGGAATCCTGCAGACTCAGAGGCTTAAAGGAGGCAAAAATGCAAAAGAATGAAACTTACTGTTGATGAAGCAAGTCTATTTACTATCAACATGAGCAATCACTTACATGGCTGAGCATACACTTCTCTGCCAGTAGAGGTGTCTGAAGAGAAAGGTGCCCAATGCACTAGGCTGTTGTGTCACACTGAATGCAGCACTTGGAAAAGGTGCCCTTATGAAGACACTGCTACCAGAGGCAACATTGGGAGTGGGGCAGTCCAAGGCTGAAGACAGACTGACAAGTGCCTGTACCAGGGAATGCACTGAAGCACTGGAACAGGCTGCCAAGAGCAGTGCTGAAGTCAATCCCTGGGGGTATCTAAAAGATGTGTAGATGTGGCACTTGGGGACATGGTTTAGTGGTAATTTGGCAATACTGAGTTAGGGGTTTGACTTGATAATCTTTGAAATCTTTTCCAACCAGAATGATTCTAYGACCACAYGCCAACTAAAATCCCAAAGGCATTTTCAGATTTCAAGGCAGATTCAGAAAACATCACCAGGTTTGYAGATGAAGTCTGAAGTTTTTGCACGCTACAATGGAGAAGGCAAGGAATGACTCTGTCAGAAAGACACTGTATGAAGTGATTCAGTTCTGCAGATGTTCCTGAGATGTGGACAATGCTGGACTGAACAGGAATGGGTTCTTGGGGCCTGTGTGCGTCGATGGACCAGAGTCCAATTGAAGCTCCTCTCTAGTGCAAGTTTTCTGTCTCTCCACATTTTGGAGTCCTGTCCAACACACTAACACACCGCACTCAGGCACAGGAAATGATGGGGGKTTTATTCCACTTGTGAAGAGGCCTTCATAGGCTTTCTAAATAACCAGTTCCAAAAGGAACTATTCTATTATTTTCTCCTACTCTTAGGAAAACCAGCTGGAGTAGACATTAGGAAGAAATCACTTAAGGAGCCTTGCCCTTTTCAGAATGCATGTTTCATGCAACCTCTTTTCTTTATGACGTGTGTGAAATTGGGTAAGAACAAAACCAATGAAAGAATATTCATAATGGAATTCTGAGATGAGCTTGGAGGCGTAGACTACTTACACACTGGGGTGGCAGAGTAAATATGATAAAATATTACTGATCTGACATTACTATATCAAACAGAAACATTTACAGAAACATTTTATCCAGCCCTTTATAAAGCAGAAACATTGTCATCAGTTTTAAGCGGCTGTAGCAATGAGGTCCTRAAAAAGGTATTTCCACACGAAAAGACTCTGTAACTAAAAATTGAAACTCCCACCAAACAAGGGAAACTCCTACTAAGGTAGGAGTTGCAAAATAAATTGCAAAGCTTTATTCTTAAAAGACATAMGAAAGATGTTATTACTTTTATTAGTACATTTTTAGCTTTACACACTATATTGTCACATTGCTTAACATTATTTGTGGAAGTAAATATTTAAAAGTGGGTAGGAAACAATCATATGATCAGTAAAATGTGTAAAATAGTCATGCAGAAAAACAGCTTTCAGCTTGTCACACTTCCAACTAAACAGACCCCAATTTTCCRGTGATTCATCTCTGCCTACTGCTTTCAATGGCATAGGGCAGGAGAAGAGAAAAATCTAAGCCCTAATAAAACACTAGATAAAAAAATGGGACTATTTAGATATTTCTGGGATTTTCATGGGACTGAAGCCATCATTTCTAGATGACACCTACGGAGGCAGTCTGCCAGTCACATCTGTTTCCATAGGAAGCACACCTCTCCATGTGGGGTCAGAGAGATGCACAAGAGGACGAGGGTAAGAAGACAGAAATAACCCCACAATATGCTCAAATCTCAGTGCAAGCAGACTGAGGAGGCAGTTTATCCTCTTCCAGGATCCACACACAGATGAGAATCCTTTCCTTCCCACTCAAGAATATTTCTTTTACCCAAAGACAGAGCAGAATAATCACACTGACACTTTTTCCATTCACTAGGTCATCTTCTGAACAACACACGATTATTGTCTTTACTCATCCTCACTCACAGACCACGTCACTTAGAACTAAGTGCAAAGGTACAGGATCTTTACCAACAATGAAGTCTGACTGAGAACAAGACTGAAGGTAAGAGTAGGAATTTATTCTTTTCTCTAATTTAAGTTATCCTGATTTTATTTAAAAATAGAATACCAACAAGTTATTTACTTCCAAATGGCAAACTTGTCTAGGCCCAGAGTTTCCTCTAGGCTGGCACTCTACTGTCCATCCAACATGCAGTCAGCCACCCTGGACTGGGGGAATAATCATGAGATTTTCACCATGGTGATGTCACAGGGCACACCAGAGAAAAACAAACAGGCAAACAAAAACCACCCACAGACAAAAACCCAAGCAACCCTGGGACATCCAACTGCAGCTAGTCAGTGAGGGAAGCTGGCTGTACCTGCACTAGCATCTTCAGACCCAAGTGRCCTCTGGCATTAACTGCCCAGCACCATGGAAGTGTTCAACAGTGGAGACAAATTCTGCTCACATCAATTCCTAATGAACACTGGAGCAAAGGTGAACAGGCAGCACCCTGATCCCAAGAAAAGCCCTTGCCTTCCTTCAGCAACCRAGGACACACATCCACAAACCACTTTCTGAAATGCTGTCACCACCTTCCACACACAGCTTGGCACAGCTTTGCCCCAGCCCCTTATCCCTCAGCCTAACATTGCATCCCTCGTCTGTCATTTCTGTCTCAGGACACTACCTAAGCACAGCACCTCTGCCATGGATCCATATCCCCATTTTTTCCATCAGAACAGTCTTCCTACAGCAGCTCTAAACCAGGGCTCTGCCGTGAAGTCTCTGGTAAAATAGGTCTTCAAAGCTCTGGACCCTGACTGTCCACACCTAGTCCTTGTTATTGAAACCAGCCCAGTACAATTCCCACTGCACAGATCCAGCACCCAGGCCCTCTGCAAACAAACCAGCCAAGCCCTTGCCTGGTCTCTCCTAAGCAAGGGCAGCAGCAGCAGCCTGGCTTTCCTAGAGCACAGCCACAGCCCAAGGACAAGGGGCAGCATTTGCCAAGGTCCTTCTATCCTGCAGCTCCCATGCAGCAGCATGTGAGCAAATGCTGTGAGCCACAGAACCACTGAGACACCATCCAAATCCAGCCCACASATTGCCCACTGGCCATCCCCAATATGCAGTCAAAAATCATCAAGCCAAAGAGACCAAGCAAAAGCCTGCAATCAACACACACTGCCTGAAACTGAAAACTGAAAGAATTGAAGCGATGGCTCATCTCACACCATGTTCAGTACTTGAAGCAATACATGGGAATAGACATAAATCCAGRACACTCTGCTGACAGAACTTCAGAGGATTCAGATTCTGGGTGCRTACAACCTACCATTGTTAAAAAACTTCAAAATCAGAAAGAATTAAGAATCAAAGGTAAAATTTTGCTCCATGAAACCCTAGAGAAGCAAAATGTAGATTTTTCTCCCTGTTATTTATCTATATTGATAAAAGTGACTGGACTGAAAAAAAACCAAACCTGGGGAACACTGCTATTTATTATTGCCCACCAATACTTCTATTCCTTTTTCAGTCCTTTAAAGGCCATCCTCAGTGAATTATTCTGGCCCTTCCAGTATTTTRCTGGCAAATACAAGACACACACAAAATGAAACACTTTGTTTTCTACAGTTCTCTGAACTGCAAATATCTAAATCGTTCATTTTAATTTTTCCACATAAGCATCACTAATATTAAATCTACACCAACAATAATTTTACACCTGCAAGCACATATTCTAGCTATAGTTGATGTTTTCAATGCTTTCCCTGTTAATGATATGCAAATTGCTGGCATTAAACCCAGAACCTCTTTGAAGTTATTTAAAGCTCCAATGTTTGACTTGATCTACTCTTYACAAAACTTCAACTATGTGCACAGCTTGAGCAAAACTGCAATCAGAACAACTTAAAATAACCAGAACAAGAGGCCTTAAAACATCAGGTCACAATAAGACTCAGAGGAACTGTATAAGACAACCAAAGGGCCATTTCAGACCACTCCCTTAAATGTTTGTGACAGCTGGCATTATAGCTACAAYGCAGGGATTGCAGTTCCTCTGGAAGACACTTCAGCTTGCAGGCAGCTGGAAGAAAAATCACTATTCCTCATAAAAAGCTAGCAGGACTTTCCTACATTATGTCACAGGGCTCGCAGWGCAAACCAGAATCCACAAGAGCAAAAGAAACATCTCCTTCCACAGAGCTTCTTAAGGAAACAGCATACATCTCACMCATTATTTATTAGATACTTGACAGCACTTAAGACTATGCTTTCAGTATTAAAAAAAAACCAAAGGAAGCAGCGTCTGTTCCGTGGCAGAGGTGACAGAATTCTATAATCCTGCTGTCAGCCTAAATAGCTACATTTGCCACTTCCTCATGTAGCACTTGCATAAATTAGATTTTCAGTTCAGAAATATACTATGACAAAAAATCCCACATTTTTACCTTRCAAACTTGAAAGCTAATCAAGGTTTCCAACAGCTAACCGTGAATCAGACACACCTCTTTTTTTCAGAGATAATTTCTAAATCAGTAGCATCTAGACAATAGTCACTCAGAGAAGCTGAGGATGCTCCACTCCTGGAAGTGTTCAAGGCCAGGCTGGATGGAGTTCTGAGCAACCTGGTGTAGTGGAAGGTGTCCCTGCCCTCGGTGGGGAGGTTGGAATTGGATGATATTTAAGGTCCTTTCCAAACCAGACCTATCTATCATTAGATATTCTATCATTCTATGAATTGAGTGCTCTACATTCTCTCTTGGAGAGCTACACATAAAACTCATCCCCAGTTACAAACTACTGTTGCTSTCCTCAAAGCTATCTGCATTACCAAATAACCACAGTTTCAGTCTGCACCAAGATCCATAAAGAGATAGCAGAGATGAGGCAAATCTACATTACTTGCATAAAATTTCCATGCAATATATGRTTGCAACACACCAACGTGTCTCAGAGACAAAAGTTTTAGATGCTTTCATGAATACTAATTTTTGTCTCAAAACCTAAAAACAGGGTAAGTGGCTAAATTGGCAGAAGAAAAAAAAAWCTAATTTAATTTTCTAGGTAGAAAAGCAACATTAAGATGTGCAGCCTTAGCTAAATGCATCTGAAATTCTACTGATTCCATCTTGTTAGAAAGAGGCAAACAACCATGATACAAGGAACAAAGAACAGGGATGCAAGCAGCAGGAGCTAACAACTAAATTTAACTACAGCTACTTTCAGAGCCCACACTGACCAAAAGTGTTCAGACAGCAGAGAAAAACAAGGTATTTTTAAACAGTTTTGCTTTTGGTTAGGCTAAGTCTCAGTAATAAGAACTATCTACCTATCCTACCAGGCTTAAACGAAGTGCCCTCCATAACAGCACAGAGAACAGAAAGAGGGGRTGAAATACACAAATAACAAGCAAGTTAAGTGACCTGAAATACAACTGCATGGGGTAGACAGTGCATGTCCTGAAGTGTAAGCTGGTTTTACGCACAYTGGATGTGTCATTCTTACAAAGTGGCAATTTGTAAGCGAGCACGCTCTACTATTAAATCAAGCAAATGTAGAATAAATGTAAATTACTTCTACAGCCCAGGAACTTCATGCAGAATTTACACTTAAAATGTATCTATGCAATTAGACTGGAGGTAAAACTCAATTTGTGGGCTTAGTCTGGGTAAGTGTTTAACTATTGAGCAGTAGAAACAAAGTCTTAGCAGACGCTGTATTCAACCAGTCCCTGCTAACACATAACAGAATGTTGCGAGGAGTTCCCCAGCCAAAGAGACACGTTTTTTGGGGCAAGATGTCAGTTAACTACTTACTTAAATTCTTATTTTTCCCTGCTAGGCAGCACAATTTTCTGTTTCTTCCACCTCTGAGGCCGCAGAACCAATTCCACAAATATTTCAGCAACAGTGTATCTCTGGTGATAGCCCAAAGCAGTTACTGATGGCCAGGTGTGTAAGGAGACTTCACTCTCTCCATTTTCCTTCCTCCTCCCCATTGTTTCTGTAGGTTAAACTGGCAGGCAAGTCTACAAARTGCCATTCTATACCCTAACATAGCACATATGAGAGATAATTACTTTTTTCCTTTCTACTCCAGGAACCTCTGAGACCCCGAAAGTCAGGGAACCATTGCACACCTGATGCTGATCTGGAAATAGGATTTATTCAAGTAGTGCCAACATTCTCAGTTCTCAGTATGACCATTACGAGCTAAAAATGAAGCCATTCTCTGGAAAGTAGATCCAAAGGAAAGAGAACAACAAGGATTTCCAACAGAATGACAGAACTCAGGGCTGCACTTTTATCCTTTACAAGCAGGATTTTCTTTCTGTTCTGAACTCAACTAACAGCCTTCATAGTGGAATCATTTGTGTTGACCACAGGAATCTCCAAAGTCTGCCCCAGCTTTAGATTTTTCCTTGCACATCTCCAGCTTCTCACTTTTAAAAAGATCATGACACATCACTGCAGTAATGAAATAACCTTTTGATTTGYAAAATCCCTTCAAAACTTCTCTTTCATTGCTCTTCTGTTAAGTGTAGTATCTCTCAGTAAAAGGATATCTGTGTAAGAGCAAAGAACCATAATTTCCAGAGCACCCTGGGAGTCAATCCCCAACAACCCAAGATCCTGAATTAAACCTCTCACTGTTTATTACCAATGACAGACACTGACTGTATCTAAAAGGAGCAGACTGTTGAAAYTTTTCCTTCAAGAAATAAAAAATTGGAGACATAAAAGGCTTTGCAACAAACTGATGCCTGCTGATTCTTGGAAATTTTGGCACAAACACCAGTGAAGTTATTTTAGGTGGAGTTAATTTTCATGGTTTTCCTTTACTTCAGTCAGTTGTGTTTTAATTACATTTCTGTTTTAACAGCAGCTAAATTAAGTCATGTGCCTAGCAGTTTGATTGTTAGCATTTCCATAAATTAACTTTTGGTTATAAAAATGCCATGTTTTCCAACAGTTCGAGTTTGCCTCAGTCATASAAAAGTATATGAAACAAATGAGGGGGAAAAGCAACAACCATGAGCTAAACCAGAGTTCCTAAAAAAGGCAATCAATTTCTACTTCTTGGTCTATTTCCAGTACAAAGAAGATAGCTTTGAAGTCAGATCACTATTAATCCATAGTCTGAGAATGAATGTGTTCTTTYGAAATACAAAAGTGAACATTTTCTTACCAATGAAACCCAGCTGAGAAAATTCTAGAATCATCCAATCTTCAGAAGCGAGCTGAAGCGCAAAATTTTTTATTGTGCTGAAATAATTCTGCTTGACAACGATGTCATCTTCAAGCTAGAGCAAGGTAGAAGTGATATCAACATAAATTTTTTTWAAAAAGCACTAGCAAAGCAACAGAAAAAAGTACAACGAGGAAATACTAACTTATTTTGCTAACACACAGCCAGGTATTTGTAATGCTAGCACTGATATAAAATATAGAAGCCATAGCCTGGAATAACTGTAGCAAGGATCAGTCTGTCTATTTGTGGAGAACTAATCCAAACTCCTTCTGCAGTAAGAATCCCCAAATGTACCTCAACTTCCTACTTTAGAACACTGCTTTTGCAGCTTCTTTCTTCAGAGAAAAATCATCCGCGCAATAATGTTAGCCTAAGTGACATCATCAGAACAAGCAGATTATCTGTATTATTYATATACAAACATGATTGTTTACTCACAAATGTAGGAGCACCRCAAGAGTTTCTCCCCTGAGACAAGAGGCACAATGTCTGCAGAGGAGGGATTCATTTCATGTGGCTTTAGCCATCCAACAGAAGCACCGGTGCACAGCCCACACTGAGCACCCAGTCCAGGCAGCAGAACTGCCAGCATGGGGTGCTACAATCCCTTTAATTCACAACAAGTCTAGGGCATTGCTGCATTAAGGATCCTGCTTCTCCTGTCCTTTCTCACGGTGCATTCACGCCCTCCCCCTTTTGCTGGCACTAATATTTGTGCAATTTCCCRGTATCAAACCAGACTGTCACATGTTATTGGCTCTGCAGCTTCCCAGAGAGCTGAGACTCCAAGAGCTCKCAGAGAGGAGTCAGCACAGCTTTGTGAAAACTAGATGACATGTGTGGGACTTTACACCCCAAGGACACAGGCACAAAAGCTAAATAAAGATCATTAGTGCAGTTACTAAATCTGCAATACCTGTAGGTAAGACTTCTACTTCAAAGCAGAAACACATGATAGGAACAATTCTGAGCTGAACTAAAGAACTGCTTCCAACTGTTGTTGGAAACTTCTTTAAAAAAAGGAAAAAAMYCCATGTCTATACACARCAGTCACATTAAAGTTACACTGCACTTTCAAAASAAAAAGAAATAGATTTTAGCTTCATTTCCACTCAAAACTATGCTGGCATTTTTTTTTTTTTGCCTAGGCATCTCAACAATAATTTGTTTGAGGGACAAAGAAAAAACAGTAGTTAAGCTGCTTGGATTCCTTCACATTTTTTGCTAAGCATCTTAAGGTAAGTGACATAGCACAAATTTACATTATACTTCAGACAGTGAGACAGTGTCCTCCTCAAATTACTTCCTCATATACCATAACCACCCTATTTAATGCCCTCTTTAAATTATGGGATGAAGTTATCTCTGTGCTGTGTAGGCCCTTCTGAAGTGCCCAACAGCATAATTTCTGGAGACTTATTTGAAAACTTGTCTCAAAATAAAGAAGAGAAATTTACCTGAATGTAATAAACCCCCTTTTTCTGGGCATACATCATAAGAAAACAATAATCCAAGTTTTGTTTTGTTCTCCATCTGAAATTAAATTGAAAGCTTAAGGTTTATGAAAAAGGTTATTTCAATACACACTGGCAATACAAAGTAAATTTCACTAYGAAAAATGACACATATTAGTGAAATGTTAGGACAGCTGCTTTTGGCATCATTCCCTCAGGCAATCCACTGTCTGAAAAAAAGAGGAACAAAGCGTTCACCTTATGCTTTAATACAGACATCAAACTGGTTTAATTTGAACCTGACTTTGTGACAACTACCTGACATTTCACTAAAAACACATGTGCATTTAAAATGGTAATGCAACAGGAACTAGTGGGTTTTACCCTGTATTGCATGAAGAAAAACAGTAAACGAAAGAGTCCAAATACTAAAGCAACTTAAAAGTATATCAAAAGTCTCAGTTCTTCTCCCAAAATTTAACACTAAGTGGATTCAACCAAGCACAGGCTCTGATCATGCTCAGAACAGCACGTAGCTAGGAATGAGATGGAGTCACAGAGCACTTTCAGCATCCCCACACTTGCAAGAATTACAGTAAGAAAACATTTCAAGAATTCACATCCCACTTGCCGTTTTATAAACAACGAAAGTGTGGGTGTGGGAGGAGATGGAAAAAGATCTGGGGGAATAATCTTACCTCACTCTCTCTTTTGAGTCTCCAAACGTTTCTTTCAAGTTTGTCAAGTCAGGATAATAAGTTGCAGGAGGGGCTATTACTTCCACCAAGCCAGAATTGATCTCTGTGGAAAACCTGTCAATAAAAACATCCTGAAGTCACATGAGAGAGTCTGAGTTCTGCAGACTTCCTGCAGTCTGGAACTGTTCTGTTGGAACAGTTACTGTGTCTGGTTACAACGACTTGCTCAAATGTAAAAGATAAATATAAAAGAATAGTGATGTAGAAAAATGTATTGTTTTCCTTAGCATGTCCTTCAGAGYGCTGTTGTCTCTTGCCAGTCAGAATCAAACTACATTCTAAACATTTTTTTGCCTTTTTTTCAGCACCTAGTGATTTTTTTCTACAGTTCTCTTGGAACATGCAGAACACAAGGCCCTAACACAGATGTCACAAATTTCCGTTCATGTTTAAACAACTCCATCTGTTTATACTGCATCAAATAATTTAATCCCACTTACTGTTTTACAGTTTAACTGACTGAATCGYTGCCTCTTAATTTGCCATCTCTTACTTTTTTTGTTCAGAAGTCCAAAGCCTCAGGAAACAAAAAGGCATGATCTCTTATTTACAGAATATTTTTTAATTTCTTATCAGAATCTGATTTAGGAAAAATCAAAAAGCAAACCCATCAATAAACTAAGAAATCCCCAATTAAAACTACAACTTACTCTCTTTCCAGGCTTGCAACAACACTGTTCACATAATCAAGATCAGTCTGGAAAAAAATTAAAAAAAAATAAATAAACATAAAAAATGAATCAATTACTTGACAGTTCTGGAGTTACATGTCAAAGAACCAAGTAAAATAAACATTGCAGATGGCTGTCCTTGAAAATCTCTTTCATTGCATGAGATATTGGAGCAGTACAAGAACACAGCATCCATATAACTATGTCTTATCTCTAATATGAGAAGATGAAATTTTTTTGTAAACCGGTGTAATTATCTCATATATGCACTGGACAAAAAAATGTTAAAACTCATGCTCTTTATGACTAAATGAACACTGAGTGTTTGTGTAGGAAGAACTTATTATTATACAACAACAAGAACAATAATAATAGTAAAAATAATAATAGTAATAATAATAGTAATAATAATAGTAATAATACGAACAATAGTAATAAATAAGAAAATATTACCAAAGAAAGCTTTCTGAAAAACAGTGCATTGAACACACACACTCTTCCCTCAAAAGTACATCTCCTAAGCTTTGCATTTAAAGTAAATGCCCCAACCACAGACAGAAGTGAACCTGCTGCCTTCCTGACTAGGGGTGCTTTTTTGCGTCAGAAATGAAACTTGAGGGACTACAAATCCTATCATACACTCAGTTCTCATAGAAAGAATGATTCTAAAAATTACTTGTTGGTGAARATACAAATCATGACATTCTGGAAAAGTCTACATCATCTAAATTGCCAGAACTGGACAATTATTCAACCTGGTTATACACACGGGTTCCAAGAAAAGAGAGTTTGTGAACTCATAAATGTGACTGACCCCTGGTCTCTGTTATACTTATTAATCTAATGATTTGACATGCCATTTACATTTTTWAAAAGAATAGTCTATAAATCAACCCAGATTCTGGCTCATGARGATTCTGGAGAAAGAATTGTCTTTGAAATGCTGGAAACAAAGGAATGGTTCATATTTTTTCTGATGAATTTGTAACACAGGATATCATTAAAGGATTATACACAGAGAATAAATCCCTCCCAAGCATTTCTATAGAACTGTTAATCTTGTTTGATAAAGGTGCTTACCCTTTGATCTTAAAAATCGCWATTTCTATTTTTTAAAGATTTATTATTATGAAATCAAACATAATGCCAGTGACGCATGCTTTTCAATAAGGACAACAACAGCAGTGGATTTCTTCCAAAAGCAGATTTTAAATATCACAAGAACATATGAGTAGAAAGTATTTCTCATAATTTTGCCATATGTATTTTCTTCCTAAGTGCTATGCCTAGGTACTGGACAGAASTTCTAGTAAGCTGTTAAGGTGTTCAGAATTTAAAACTCATCTCACACTGAGTTCCACACAAGGAGACTCACAAGTCTATATGGACCTTGATATATCACAGTTTAAATACTTCTATGCATTGTTCATACACATTTAATTAATGGAATTAGGCATAACTTTTTCTGTTTTGTGTAATGGCTGCAAATCAGAGTAACCTAGTGACTACCTAAAAATAATTTTAGTATATCCATCTTTAACTGAAGCATTTCTTTTTCTCTCTTTTCAAAACCCTTTAAACATTAAAAATACAGAAACTGCAGTTCAATCATCATATGAAAAGACAAAAATTTGCATTTCAGTTGGCATGCCAAATTTCAGTTACCCAGGCCAGCATTAAGAACTCCAACACATCCRATACAGTCCATACTGTAATTGCATAGAAAAATACAGGATTTATTTATAAACGTATCTACATACACACACTCAGCAGAAACACAGCTACTTTCTATTCAGTATTCCAGAGATTAAAATAAATGCCAAACTTCATGCCAACTGGAATCATATATCTGCTCACAAGCCCGTGCCYCAGTGCACATCTCCTTAGCGGGAACAGAGTTTTGACCTATTTTGCAGACTACCATGAAGCTTTGCTACTGCTTGTAAAACCTTACACTCTTACACAAAAAAACACCACAATCAGAAAAAAAACCCCATCTAGAATAAGAGGTTTTTTTTTCTCTACTTCCCATTATTTGTTTGAGTGCTTCACACAAAAGGCTGGCAGTTTCTCAGTCAGAGCAGYAATCAACAATAGGATCACATTAAAAAGATGCAGCTTGGCTGCTGTCACAAAAAGTCAAGAAGGCCTGGTTTAGCTGCTCTGAACATGAGATACAACAAATTCCACTGCTGGATTAGTAGGTAACCTTTCCTTCTCAATCAGCAATCACTGCATCAAAAAGTGATTGTGCAAAAGCAGATGACATTTTTAAAATGAAAAAGAACATGTAGATTAGAAGAGTTGATGCCATTTTTCACAKGAKCAAATGCATTCAAACACTRGTATTCTGCYATCATTTTAAAATAARCAGTTGTATTTATATCTATCAGCAGCATATGAGATTGAGAACCAAAATTTCAACATTAAATCCTTCCCCTCAGGACAGCAGTTTGACTATCCTCTTTYCACATCAGAACTTCAGGACACAATCAACTCCTCTCATTGCCCACCCTAAGYAGGATCTTTGCCAACACCCTCTGGYGTGGACACATCYCAGGGAGGTTGCASTTCTAAGTTAATTCACACAACWTTAAGAGAYAAGTATGAGAACATGCAATAAATTTGATCATGCAGTGACTATACCCAAGGGAAGAGTTAAGCAGACAGAAGACTTTGCAGGGTAGCCATGGAAGGAAATCTGGAAGAGCTAAATAAAATCTAAGGACCTTTCAAGCAGTATTAATTCAGTCAGMGACTTAAAAGCAACAGGAAAAAAAATCTATTATTAATCAAAAACTAATCCCCACTTTCAAGGAAGAAAGTTTTTACTGCCTTAACAAAATAAGATGCAAGGTCCTCTTTATCAACCCGAAGGACATGAGACTGCTTGTCTCCAAGAACCTTAAACAGGACAAGACAAATCCAGATTAATTTTAAAAAGTCACCCATGGAAGAAAATGTGTAACTGTTCCATAGGCTTTGAGAGAAAATCATCTGGTAGATGCTCGGATGACTTTGGAGTAGACATTATGAACTTAAAATCTATTTTAGGGTATCAGTGCTGCTAGAAAATGAAATGTCRCTGGTGATCCCAAGGACAGCAGCACATGTAAGACTACAATTATGAATGTTTTTGTCTATCAAATCAAAAAGGCACTACTAAAACTATAACTTTTTCTTACTTAAACACCTACGGTTGAAGATTAAAAAATCCTTAGGAGTTTTTGGACCTATAAAAAAGAAGCACAAATGAATATTTTAAGAACAAATCCCTTTAAAGCAATTAAACGCAAAATTGTGTTAGGACCCAACCAAAGAGTTAATTCTCCCAGCCACAAAGATGCATCTTATCAATGGATCCCATGAAGCCTTACAAACTCTGTCATGGTGAGTGGATCTCTGAAAACTTTGTGTTCAAAGCCACAGGTAGGAATGTTTATTTTCATATCAGCAGTTCAAATCTTTTGGTCTGTTCTTTCTTCCCAGTCATACGAAATTACTGATCTTCACGAGAATGCAAAACACTTGAAGTGAGACATTTTCCTTTAACTATTCATACCAGATGAAGGATTGATTCACATCAGTATCTTGCTTCCAGCACAGGCAGCCATGAAAAGATACACAGCAAAGATTTAAAAAAGCACACACAACACCCTCTCCTGCTGTCATCCATATTCCAAATACCGTCAATTCAGGTTACTTCCTTAGAACAGATGTGATTTTATGTATTTAATAATCCTCAGCAGACTCATCTTCAAGGTATTTCATTAGCATTCCCTTRAGCCTATCTAAACTTTCAACAAGAAAAGAAAGTTTTTAGCTTATGAGATCTATCGAGTTTCATAACCCTGTGAACAGGGCTGTATCTAAGGTTTAACTCTTTSCATCAACAGTTTTGATGACAAATGAATATAGACTGCTTTGATCGATCTCTCTTAAAAAAAGCCTCACAGTCTGCTTTAGAACAAACTAAAGTTGCAGACTGTCAATAAAATAAGTTTTAAAATTTCCTCAGTTTATTTTAAATGCTGTGCTCCTGTTCTCTAAAGCACCTTCCTGTAGTGCAAGTGAGGCTGCGCTTCAAGTTTGCGATTGTTCTAAAAATTATCTGAGCAGACATCGTTATTCGTAACACCGAAAGAAGTACAGCAGCAGTGAACTTTTCAATCTKCTTTATTGATTTTTATGAGTGAGTGTGTGCACAGCAAAGCAGAAGAATACATTAGCTAGCAGAGAAAACAAGAGGTTAGAAAGTTCGGATGAACAGCTAGCCAAATGTCACACAAAACGAAAATTTCTRGTTTTAAGAATCAACACTTTCATAKTGTTAAATCCTGACTTCATATCCTCAAGAATGACAGAAGGTAGACTGTTTCTCGAAATATARGAAAAGCCATAGAACTTAAGACCAAAGGTTTATTTGCTGTCCTAAGTGGCAGGTGCATAGGAAAGAAAAAAGATGCAATCATAGAATCTCTCAAGCTGAAGAGGATCCAAAAGAATCAACACCAACACCCATCTCCTTGTAGGACTACCTAAAACTAAATAATATTTCTAAAGACATCATCCAAGTGATTCTTGAACTCTGAGAGGCATAGTGCCATGACCACTTCCATGGGCASMCTATTCCCATGACKGACCAYTCCRTGAAGAACCTTTCCCTAATGTCCAGTCTGAACCTGCCCTGATGCAGCTTCACACCATTYCCMTGKGTCCTGTCCCTGGTCACCAGAGAGAGATCAGCATATCCCTCTTCACTGACCACCTGAGGAAGCTGTAGACTGTGATGAGGTAACTCACAGTCTTCTCTTCTAAATTTAACAAACCAAGTGACTTCAGCTGCTCCTCCAARGTCTTGCCCTTGAGGCATTTCACCATCTTGGAAACTTACCTAGACTGTTAAATTTTCCAGAACTCAATTCTTAAATGAAATATACTAGAAGTCAGTCTTGAATTATTCAAGAACACCCTTCAAAGAATGAAAAAAATACCTGAGGAACAAAGCATGCTAATCTGCATAGTG